CATTTCATAGGAGATCGAAACATATTGATACAAGGTATCATTGGATTCGAGAGGTTTTGGATTCTAAGTTGATTGAAGTTGATAAAATCTACACAGATGAAAATGGTGCGGATATGTGCACTAAAAGTCTTCCAAGAGACTAGTTCGAGTTCTGCAGGATGGCTGCAGGGTTGGTTGCGTCCTCCACATAGTCGGAAGGGGGAGAATTGTTGGGTTTGTTCCTCCTATGTGTTGAAGGCCCAACAATTCAAGTTAGCCCAAGAAAAATTAAAAGCCCACTTTTGTTAATTGTTGCCCTAGCCGCCTTAGTTGGGAGAATGATCAATTGGGTGTAGAGATTGAGAGAGATTGAGAGAGACAATTGTTATCCACGCAAGCGAGAGAATCGGCAAGTAAGAGATAATTTTAACTCGGTTCCGATCAACGGTCTCGTCATCTTCGGATGTTCCTTTTGGTATCGTTGATTTCTCCTTATTTGTTTGGATTCGATTTTGAATCTTATTGGTTGGAGATTGGAATGGGTTGTTTGTAGTTGGGAGATCTCTTGTGATTGGGGTTCGATTCTTGTATTTGGGTGTGGAGGTTGATAGCCCTTTTGATTGTGGTTATCTTTTGATTGTACGAACCTTTTGAGATAGTGAATTTTACCTTAGGTCGGGTGATAGGCCTCGTGGTTTTTATCCTTCACTTTCAAGGAGTTTTCCACGTTAAAAGTTCCGGTGTCTCGTATTGTTATTTCCATTTTTATTGGTGGTTGTCATTCATCTTCTTTTGGTAGAAAAAATAATTCATTGAAGACAAAGGTTTTGGTGGAACAGTTTGAATACACTACTTGGGCGTGACCACGCTTAAGGAGTACGTCGAATCTAATTTTAGTTTGCATTTTGGCCTTCTTCCGGTATTCTTCCAATACTTGTAGATTTATGTACACAAGGGTTTGGAGCTCGAAGCAATCAGGGAATTCTTGAAGACACCAACTAGAGAAGACCACAATTTAAAGTTATTTGGTAAGAAAATTTTAGGCATTTTCAAAATTTTAAGTATGTTTGTATTAATTTCATGAATTAAGATATCTCTTGTTCGATTCAGATTTATTTTTATTACTATTATATGGTTTATATTTGGTGATTTTAATTGATTCTATCTTATGTTACATGTTGGACTCTTCACAACTCTTGAGCATACTGAAATATCGATGCTTAGTTCTGGCATTTGACATTCTTTTGGAGGCTGTCTATCTGAATGTGAAGGTTGTTTGGCCTCATTCTCATATGTTGGAACATTTCAAATTGCTTGGAATTTCTGGACCCATTCCATCAAACAATGGCTCGAAGGTTGGTTTGGCTTAAGCATCATGGTGCTTCTTTGCCATGTAGGTTCAAGAGACTGTTTGTTGTGGTTTGAATGATCTACACTGGAATTCGATTGGCTGGGTTGAAGAAACCATGCAAAGTGTAGTGATGTTATCCGATTCTCTTGGGATGTGCAAGACATTGATGTTTTATGTTGGAAGAGGTTGTTGCTGCGAGGAAAATCTGAAATTTTCAAATTTGTTTCAAGATGATTTGACCCTTATTTACAATAAGTGTGAGAAGGTGAATGCCTTGGAAAATTCCTAAGCCACAAAGATGATCTCATAAGTTTACTTTCTTTCCTAGTCCATATTGTTAGAAAATAAACATATAATCAAATATGTTAGCGGAAGCGGAATTTAAACAAACCTCTAGCCATTGCTAAAAATTAGATTTGTTCTTGAGATCTTCTTCTTCAAGAACAGTAGATTGGAACCGTGGGAAGATGGTGTTGCCAAACTCTGGAATCCTTGGGAGGATGTTGCCAAACTTTGGAACCCTGTAAAGATGTTGCCAGATCCTGGAACCCTAGGATGATGTTGCCAAACCCTGGCTCTAAAATAGAGATGGTGTATTCTGATTTTCTGAGAGTAGGTTTTGTAACCCGTATGTGAGAGTATTTATAATAAAAAAGAGAATCTGTCCATCACGATTTTTCTGCCACTTTTCACGTATATTTTGAATGTGATAGACTTAATGGAAGAAAAGTGGCCACAATTTTAGGTTAGTTTAATTATATAAGATAATTCAAAAATAATCAAAATTCAAATATGATTAATTAATTAATTAAACTAACACATATCTATATTTAATTTTTGCCATTGTTATTCGTTTAGTTTAAATGATCTGCTAGTTGCTTGCTTACTTAATTAATTTGTTAGCCTACAAATAGTCACAAGTTAATTGATTTGGTTCTTTTTGTAAGAATTAGTTTACCTGCAGTTCATTTTAGTTTAGTTTTTTTTTTTTTTTGTTTCTTCAAGTCTTTGATTTTATATTACTGACCCGACATATTCTTTCATTTACGGGTGTCTTATTTGTTATGTTAAATTAAATTAAATTATGTTTTTCTTATTGCCATCTACACAAATAGGTTGTTTAGTTCAATAATTATTTCTCTATTGCAACTTTGTTTGATGTCTTTTTATTTGAACGTATATTTTTAGTTTTCATCATTTATTTGCTCTTCTTCATATGGCTACACACATTCAGGTAACTTAAAAAGTCTAATGACATGTTTTCTTGGTTCATTTTCAGATATTATTTTATGTTATAATTTAGAAGTGACTTTTTATTTATTTTTTAAAAATCACTCTAGAGTTATATGTACTGCATTTTCTTTTTTGTATTCCTCTTGGTTATTAATCTCACCCACAACTGAACTACATGCTAGAAATAATGCAAGAGTAATGATCATAGGATCATTGGTCATGGAACAACATGTAAATAGTTATTGTTGGAATTTGTTTATTATTCATTTTTAGGTTGATTGGTGAGCTAAGTTGGTGTTCTTATTATGTTTGTAGTTTTGATATTGAATGTGTTATTTTTTTGTCATACATTGTGGCAATGTAATACAGGTGGAAAATGATGATTTTTTTGAGGTAAAATGTTCTTGCCGTTTTCAGTTTTGTTTCCAACCCGTTGAGAAAAGTGATGATTGCAAACTAGTGAGCTGCATATGTGGGTACCATTTTGGTAACAAACTCTTTGTTAGCACCTTATTCTCATATAGAAAACTGGCTGCATTGATTTTATGTTAATGATGCTTTGACAAATTAATGCCTAGATGAATGATTTGAGGTTCAACTTGCATAATCGTCTTATCACATTTTCATATTTTGATTTATTTTATAATTCATCCACTCTAGCATTCCGGATCTAATGTTAAGTTTTTATAATGTTGAGCAGTACAATTGTTTCTCTAGTTTGTAAAATGTGCTATCAATTCCTACAAACTTTGTGTTAGAAGTCTATGATCATTAAGGTATCATAATGTTATGTTTCAGCTTTAAATAATTTAAACACGGTACTAGCGTAAATTCAAATAATGAAGGTTGACTGCAAGTGCATCGAGTGTTGTCATATTTTTCACTAAGGTGTAGTAGTAGATCAAAGTAGGAGTTTATTTACATTTCCTGAATTCTATTCAATTTTATGGATTTGAGCATCTATGCATTTTAATAGAATTATGACAAATTTCTTTATTGGTGTTGTAGGAGTTTTGTGGCGATTTATTGTTGTTGTATGGTTATATGACTATGTTTGGTGGTTAATCCGACATTTATATTTTAGTTTTAGACATTGCTATATGCTTATTTAGGATATTGTCTGGAGAATAATTTGATGGATGTTTATATATATATTGTACTAGGAAGTATAGTTTACTATCATATTCATGATTTATTTACATATATCACGATATGCTGTTTACTTTCATGTATTGGTTACAAGTTTGCAATTCACATGTATTCATAAATTTGTTTACAAATATCTTTTCATTGTTACTAGCACATGTTTTTATATTTATGTAGGTGATACACTAGCAATTATTAAAGTATTTGTCATGAATGTCATGGTTCCGAAAACTCCAATTATACTCCCAATAAATGTCGGAAAGAAGATCTTCGCTGAAGAACTCGACAGAGATAACATTGTGTGTACATACAAGAATGTACATATTTTTTTATTGGTCTTATTCTTGTAGGAACTAAATAATTTTAATTGCAATAATAAATTCTTATATATCTTGAAATTCATTGCAGTTGGTCCATTGCCCCTAATTGCTTCATTTGTAGTGCTACAACCAACGAGCTTGGTCTTCATTATTAGTCGTTTTTAGCTGGCATCAAAATTGTATTGTGGTTTGGTACTAGATTGATCTATTTATATATTATTATTTTAATTTAGGGATCATATATTACTTGGTTGTTAGGTTAGTGTAGGTCACGGCTATAATTGCGTATGTTTTAAATGTATTGTTGACAATTATGTTAGTACTTTTGTTATATCTATGAACATCGTTGGATTGATGTAAATTTTGTTGGGAAAAATTGAGAGATAATATTAAGATAAGAATAAATTGCTGTTGAATTGTTTATTATTAAAGCATATTGGAGCCTATATATATACGCTTAGTCCAGAAAATTTTCAAATGGTTAACAGACTCCAGAAGACTCTCAACAAATTTAATAACAAACTCTGACTTAGTCTACTAGTGGTTCTAGTAAACTATTATTTAAATGACACCTGAAAAATGAAATAATATTTCAACACTCCCCCTTCATTTGAAGGTGGCAAGATCCAATTTTATGCTAAGTTCTTCATGTTTGGCTTGAGGTAGACTCTTTGTTAACACGTCAGCCACTTGCTCTTCACTTCAACAAAGTTCAAGCTGGACTTTCCCTTCATTGATCAGGTCCCTTATGAAATGATGCTTAATCTCAATATATTTTGTGCGACTGTGATGGACTGGATTTTTTGCTAGCATGACAGCTGATTTGCTGTCACATTTAATGACAGTGGGGTTATTTTGTTCCTGTCACAAGTCGCAAAGAATTCGTTGTACCCAGACTGCTTGACACCCTGCTGCATGGCTGCCACATATTCAGCTTCTGTAGACAACACAGCTACTGTGGGTTGTTTTTTTTAGTTCCAGGAGATTGCAGTTGTCACCAACATAAAGCAATTTCCAGATTTGCTTCTTCGATCATCCAAGTTTCCGGCCCAGTCACTGTCCGTAAAGCCTTTAAGGCTGAAATCCTCAACTTTGCATAACCAAATTCCAAAATCCTTAGTTCCAGCCAAATATCTTAAAACCTTTTTTGCTGCTCCGAGGCAATGTTGAGTGGGCTTTTGCATAAATCGTGACAACACACTGACTGAATATGCAATGTCTGGTCGTGAGTGAGTGAGATAGATTAACCTCCCCACCAAACTTCGATAGACTATTGCATCTACCAGCATTGTGTTGTCGCAAGCAATCAGCTTTTCGCCAATGTTCATTGGCGTTGCAACTGTATTGCATCCCAACATATTAGATTTCTTCATTGTGTCCTCCACATATTTCCTTTGTGTCATGAATATGCCTTTTTGGACTTAGTGATTTCCAATCCCAAAAAGTATTGTAATTCTCCCAAGTCGGTCATGTCAAACATTTTCTTCATTGATGTTTGAAACTCATTTATGAGATGCACAGATGAGCTCATGTATATCATGTCATCAACATAGAGACTTAGAATAAGTAAATCACATGTACCTCGTATTTTTATATACAACGTCGGCTCATTGGGACCTTTTTTGAATCCAGCTTTTTGGAGAAAGTCATCAATCTTGTTGTACCAAGCACGCGGAGCTTGCTTAAGCCCGTAGAGAGCTTTATGTAGACGTAACACTTTTCTTTCTTTCTTTATTTTCGAATCCAGGTGGTTGACTAACATAAAATTCTTCTTGTAAATTTCCATTTAGGAAGGCAGACTTGACATCAAACTGATAAATTTTCCATTGTTGTTGTGCTGCAAGTACCAATAGAATCCGCACCGTGTCAAAACGTGCTACCGGAGAGAATGTTTCCTAATAATTGAGTCCATGTTGTTGTGTGAAGCCTCGAGCTACCAGTCTGGCCTTATATTTCTGAACACTTCTATCGGGCTAATATTTTGTCTTGAAAATCCATTTCAGACTGATGACTTTCTTGCCTTCTGGGAGATCAACCATTTTCCATGTTTGGTTCCGTTTGATAGCTGATAACTCCTCCTGCATCGCGTTTCTCCACTCTGCCTTCTCCATTGCTTGTTCTACTGTCACAGGATCTGCTGCAAACAGAACTAAAAATGAAGCATCCTCCCCCTCAATCTCAAAGTGACGCCTAGGAATTTGGCCACGTGTGCTTCTGCATAGTGTGGCTGGATCATTGAGTACTGTCGACTCTTCCAGAGAGGATTCTATAGTAGTGGTGAGATTGTGTTTGGTTGGTGTCAAATGTGAAGTCCATCATCTTCCATCAACTCAATTTCAACCATTGCAGATGTTGTGTTGCTGATCTTTTTTTTTTTTTTGTCCAGTCCCACGTAGCCTGCTCATCAAACACAACGTTTCGGCTGACTGTAATTTTATGATCCATAAGATCATAAACTCGATAAGTCTTTGACTTAGTACAATAGCCAATAAATATGTGTTTTCGTGATTTTTCGGCTAGCTTATGCTGACCACTTGAATGTAAGACATAACAAATGTATCCAAACACACGCAGATGGCTTACCGATGGCTTGTGTCCGTTCTATACTTCATATGGAATCTTGTTCCATACCGCTTTGGTGGGTGAAAGGTTGAGAATGTAGGTTGCAACAGCCACTCCTTCAGCCCAAAAACGGTCAGGCATTCCCTGAAGTTTCAGCATTGATCGAGTCATTTCCATAATGGTGCGATTTTTCCGTTCGGCCAGACCGTTCTGTTCAGGAGTGTATGGAGCTGTGAGTTCCCTTCTGATTCCATGTTCATTGCAGTACACATCAAATGCTGCTGATGTGAATTCTCCACCATGATCTGTGCGAAGTGTTTTAATATACTTTCCGCTCTGCTTCTCAACCAAGGCCTTAAATACTTTGAATGACTCAAAGCATTCCGATTTTTTCTTTAAAAAATATACCCAACTCATCCTACTGAAATCATCAATAAATAGAAGGAAGTACCTGCTCCCACCTAGTGATTCGGTTCACATTGGACCACAAACATCAGCATGGATGAGTTCTAAGACATTTTCGGCCCGCCGAGACTTTCCGCTAGGAAAAGACTGCCTTGTTTGTTTTCCAGCCATGTATGCCTCACATACTTTGCCTAGGGCTCAATGGCAGGAAGGCTTTTCACCATGTTCTTATTTCTCAATAGTTGCAACCCTTTTATATATAAATGACCATATCGCCGATGCCATAATTCACTTTTGGTGAGAGTTTTGCTCATTATAGCACTTTCTGTTGTAATAGAGAAATCCAAGGCAAACATTCGATTTGATGACATATGAGCACACACAAGAATCTTTTTGGCGATCTTATCTTTCACAACACATTTATCATCCTCAAATGTCACCGTGTAACCAGATTCAATTAGTTGTCCAACACTTAATAAGTTATGTGCTAAACGTGGAGCAAAGTACACATCCTTAATGAGAGCTTTATGGTTACCTGCTCCAACCGAGATGATACCACTTCCCTCAATTTTTAGTTGTTGGTCATCTCCGAGCCTTACTTGCGATTTCACAGTCTCATCAAGCTCTTTAAATTTTGAGCGATCACCAGTCATATGATGAGAGCAACTGCTGTCTATATACCAGAGGTCGTTCTTCTCTTCGTGTGAACCCGCCAATGCCATGAACAAATAGTTTTCTTCATTTTCCTCAGCATATTGTGCCTCTTCTGGTTTGGACCAACAGTACTTGACTGTGTGCCCAGATTTGTTGCAGTATGAGCATTTCAGTGCACTATTCCTGCCACGACCTCGTCCTCGATAGTTCCCTCGACCTCTGCCTCGGTTCAAGGTTCGGGCTCTCCTTTGGTTTGAAATGCCTTTTCTTCCTCTTTAATGTTGAAACGATTGATCCGTACTTCGTGTGCTTGAAGTGATCCCATCAACTCATCAACTGTGAAGGTTAATAGGTCTCGTGATTCCTCAATCGCAGCCACCACATGGTCAAACTTTGCTGGTAGGCTCCGTAGGATCTTGGCGACTACTGTTTGGTCGGTTATTGTATCTTCGTAGGACCTCATTTGTGCTACAGTCGTGCCCACCTTTGCCAAATATTCTGCACAGATTCAATTTCAGTCATGGCAGAGGTCTTCAAGGTGCGTCTGAGTGTCTCCAATTTCACTGCTATTACTTGGGCAGATCCTTTATACTCATTTTTTAGTGTGGTCCAGGCTTCTTTGGCTGTGGTGGCTCCTGCTATTCTAGAGAAGATTGAATCATCTTCTGCCTGCTGAATGAAAAAGAGTGCCTTGGCATCACGTTTCCGCTGTTCTCTATTTCGATTTTCATCTTCTTTGAATTTCTTATACCCAGTTTTCACATATTCCCATAAGTTCTAGGATCGAAACAAGGTCTTCATTTTGATGCTCCAAAAATTATAAGACTCACCTTTAAATACAGGTATTTGTGGTTGATTAGCAGAAGGGAGATTTGGAGCAGCCATCGCGAAGACGTAAACCTGGCTCTTATACCAGTTTTGTTGGGAAAAATTGGGAGATAATATTAAGATAAGAATAAATTGTTGCTGAATTGTTTATTATTGAAGCATACTAGAGCCTATATATAGGCTTAGTCCAAAAAATTTTCAAATGGTTAACAGGCTCCAGAAGACTCTCAACAAATTTAATAACAAACTCTGACTTAGTCTACTAGTGGTTCTAGTAAACTATTATTTAAATGACACCTGAAAAATGAAATAATATTTCAACAGTAGAGTTCTTTAAGGATTTCGGATTTAATATAGTAAAATTATGTTTTAATTATTTGTTGTGTAGCTGGATCTGTAAAAAATAATGTATTACTTAGTATTATTTTTTGTGGCAACAAAAACTTTATTGCATGCATAAATGACTTTTGTACCGATTTTTTTATTACGGTAATTTTCGTAATAAAAGGTATTTCATGGTGACCTAACTTTTTGTTCTACATTTTTTGTTAAGGATAAATGTTGTAACAAAAAGTTCTCTAACAAGATTTCACTTTTTTTCCGAATTTTTTTGTTACGGACATATGTTGTCGCAAAAACATGGTCAAACGTTTTGTTACGTGCGAAAAATTTAACAAATACAAGTAACACATTCTTATTTAGGGGGTTGACCATCACATATTTGTTACGAAATTTTCCACAATAAAGACTTTATGTACCGCGATTTTTCGTAGCAGTCAAAATCCGTAACAAAGTCGACACAAAAGACTATTTTGTACGAAAATTGAGTTTTTGTTACGAATTTTGACTGCTACAAAACCTCAATATTTGGTAGTGGTAAAATACTTTTTAGTCTCTTTTAATTCACTATTGTATCAATTTTACTCCTTTTATTTTTAAAATGACAATTTTGGTCTCTTTTATTCAGTTTCAATTCATCTATTTTAAAATGATAATTTTGATCTCTTATTCATTTAAATAGTTCAATTTTCTAGTTCTTAATTATTGTTTCCCTTAAAAATTAATAAATATTTTTATTACTCCTTCGTGACCTAAAAATACAATCACTATTCTTTTGTTTTTTCATCTCAAATATGGTTATTTTTGTTTTTAATTAAAAAAATCATATTTTTTAATATTTTTTTACTATTAAAGATAAAAAAAATAAAAAAATACACACCACACTAAAATTTATATCAGAAAGTTTGAATATATTTTTATGAGGTAATATGATTTTCATTAGAAAATTTTATTTTTATTTATTATTTAAATTAATTTTTCAAACAACTCCGCGCAAACTTTAAAAACTATTCGTCTAGATAGCGTTGCAAGTTGTTTGTCTTAATTAAATTGTTAATGTATGTATAAAAACGAAAGAGTTTATTTTGATTAAAAGCATGATATTAATATATATTTTTTGTTGATAGGTACCATAAAAAAAGTAATTTTTATGAAATATTTTTTTAAGAATAATATACGTAGGTGATCATGCATAAAATAAATATATATATATATATTTAAGAAATGATAATTATGAATAGAATCTGAATTATATTAATTGATAATGGTTCTAAATTATCATTTTAAGAATAAGTTTACTAAAATTGACACAAAGAAGAATAAGAGACCAAAAATATATTCTACCCCAAAAAACAGTACAAAAAAAATTTCTAGTACGGACAAAAAATCATAACTAAAATATATTTTTCGTGCAATTTACGTTTTTGCTATGCCGTGGTGATGATTTTTATCCGTAATGTATACTTGTGTCACAAATTGACAGCAACGATCTGACATATTCTTCAAGCAATTGACGACGAACATCAACCTTCAGTCATGAACAACCCCAAATCTCCAGCGAACAGCAGTGCCCCGGTGACCCCGTTGCCCCTGATTGCTTCATTTGTGGTGCTACAACCAACGAACTTGGTCTTTATTATTAGTCGTTTTTAGCTGGCATCAAAATTGTACTGTGGTTTGGTATTGGATTGATCTATTTATGTATTATTATTTTAATTTAGGGATCGTATATTACTTGGTTGTTAGGTTATTGTAGGTCACGGCTATAATTGCGTATGTTTTAATGTACTGTTGACAATTATGTTAGTACTTTTGTTATATCTATGAACATCGTTGGATTGATGTAAATTTGTAGGGTTCTTCAAGGATTTCGGATTTAATATAGTAAAATTATGTTTTAATTATTTGTTGTGTAGATGGATCCGTAAAAAATAAAGTATCACTTAGTATTATTTTTTGTGGCAACAAAAACTTTATTTCATGCATAAATAACTTTTGTACCGATTTTTTTTATTACGGTAATTTTCGTGACAAAAGGTATTTCATGGTGACCTGACTTTTGTTCTACATTTTTTGTTAAGGATAAATGTTGTAACAAAAAATTCTCTAACAAGATTTTATTTTTGTTCCGAATTTTTTTGTTACGGACATATGTCGTCACACAAAAACATGATCAAACCTTTTGTTACGTGCGAAAAATGTAACAATACAATTAAGACATGCTTATTTGGGCGGTTGACCATCACATATTTGTTACGAAATTTTGCGCAATAAAGACTTTTTGTACTGAGACTTTTCGTAGCGGTCAAAATCTGTAACAAAA